TGAAACCATCCACTGCTTGGGGTTTTTCTCTTGTGTAATGTGGCATCCACGGCCAAAGACTCCGATCAGATGGGGTCACATGTCGACAGGTCGACAGTCATTTTTTAGTCGGGCGCGTCTCTCTACAGGAGGATCGGAGGTTCATGGACCTCCTGCCCTGACGCGTCGATTAGTGAATTGGCCGTTCTCGGTTCGCGAGAGGGCGTCGCGGCCGTTGTTTTTGCGGGTCCAGGTCCGTCGATTTCGGTCCCAGGCCGTTCTCACTGAAGGGTGGTTTGCTACAGGGAGGTTTGTCCACCGCCGACGATCCGGCCCTTGGCCGAAGAAAGTCGCCAGAGCAAGAGAACCGCGTGGTGTTTGTCTTGAGGGCAAACACGCATCGACACAACGAATCGTCGACCCCCAGGAAAGTATGGGAAAATGTCGGGAAATACAGGAGGTGGGGGGGAAGACGAAAAACGAGGAAATGCGTGAAAATATTGGGAATCCTGGGATTTGTGTCTATTTATTTGTGTGCCCCAGGGCCCCTTCAATCCCACAGTGGTTACTCTCTTTTGTTTTCCCGACGGCCCCGATCCGGCCTCTGGCCGAAGAGCGTAGCCAGAGCAAGAGAGCCGCATGGTGCTCTGTCCACGAGGCGCCATCGAGCACCTGTGCCCGCGGCAGTCTCCGGAGGCTTCCAGGGACCTCCCGAGTTGGAGGCGTGGGGCCTTGCGCAGCATCCTCCTCTGCCTGGTTCCTCCGTAGCCCTTCTGGCTCCCGGCGCAACGCCCGAGCGCGGCCGCGCAGGGAGCCTCCTGGGCGGCCCGGGCGCGGCGGCCCCAGGCAGCTCGGGCGCGGCGCGAGCTCTCGGCCTCGCGTGGCCTTCGGCCTCTCGCGCTCTCTCTCTCTCTCTCTCTCTCTCGCTCCCCTTCTCACCCTCCTCCTCCTCCTCCTCCTCCTCCCCCTCCTCCTCCTCCTACTCCTCATCCTCTACTCCTCCTCCTTCCTCCTCATCCCTCCTAATACTCCACCTCCTCCTCCCCCTTCCTCCTACTTTCCCTCCCCTCCCCTCCTCTATCCTCATCCCTCCTCCGCACCTACTCCCTCCTCCTCCCTCCTCCTCCTCCCTCATCATCCTCCTCCTCCTCCTCCTCCTCCTCCTAACTCCTTCCTCCTCCTCCTCCTCTTACCCCTCCTCCTCCGGGGGGGCACGGCCCAGGGGGCGCCAGCGGCCCCCGGCGGCCCCCACCCCCCCCTCGGGGATCGCCGCCGGGCCGCCCTGCCCGGCGGGCCCCGGGACGACGGCGGGCC